GCATATACTAGACGATCGCTTTAGCCTTCGTTCGTCGACGTACAATGTTAATTGCAAAAAGAGAGCCAGCCATATAATCAAATTAACCTATTTTAGACGCCTCTTCGACGTCATGCAGCGACGTCAAAACCCTGGATCTACGTACTTAAACTGTCGCCACGCTTCCTTCATGGCCGTGTGCATATACTAGAGATGCTTTAGCCTTCGTCGTCGACGTACAATGTTAATTGCAAAAAGAGAGCCAGCCATATAATCAAATTAACCTATTTTAGACGCCTCTTCGACGTCATGCAGCGACGTCAAAACCCTGGATCTACGTACTTAAACTGTCGCCACGCTTCCTTCATGGCCGTGTGCATATACTAGAGATGCTTTAGCCTTCGTCGTCGACGTACAATGTTAATTGCAAAAAGAGAGCCAGCCATATAATCAAATTAACCTATTTTAGACGCCTCTTCGACGTCATGCAGCGACGTCAAAACCCTGGATCTACGTACTTAAACTGTCGCCACGCTTCCTTCATGGCCGTGTGCATATACTAGAGATGCTTTAGCCTTCGTCGTTTTGGACGCCTCTTCGACGTCATAGAGGCTTGGCTTTGATGGGCAGTTTGTGCAGCGAACTCGAACGGTGGTACGACCGCACCGACTGGCGGCTGCTTGCTCGAAGTGCGAGCTGGCGGCGGCCATTAACACTGAGCTTCTCTTCGTCTTGGCTCGCGGCCATGTCGTTGAAGATCTCTTCCAGCGTCGTATCACTCACACTGTATTGCGCCAGGTGCAAGGCCTTCTTGTGGCCTTCCATCCACGCAAAGAGCGAATGCAGCGTGTGGCCAAAGGCCTTTTCTACGTGGAGGCGGAAGTGCTCGCCGTGGTGCTCGATGAGCGTAGCGCCTTCAACGTCCGCGTCAAGACGCTGCAGGAGCGCGTCGCTGGCGTTATCGGTCGCCCACCACTGCCGAAGCACATCGAGCGGCACGCCGCCGTCCTTCTCAACGTAGTGCTGGAGGACCCAGTCCGACTGGAGCCGCTCCAGTCGTTCTGGACAGTCCATTTCGTTGCAGAGACTAACGATGTCGTCCATCGTCAACATCGACGACGCTGTCGGCAGCACTGGCCACGCGTCTTCGGGCAGCGATTCGAGCTTGAGGTCGAGCGTAAAGCCGCGGCCAAACTTGTGCTTGAGGTGCTGCGCCGTGCCGAGACACTTGAGCTGGCCGCTCACGAGGATGCCGATGCGCGTGCAGAGCGCTTGGCACTCCTCCATCGAGTGCGTCGTTAAAATCACCGAACAACTCTTCTCCTGCAGGACGCCGACAATCACGTCCCACATGTCGCGGCGCGCGGCCGGGTCCATACCGGTGGACGGTTCGTCCAAGAGCAGTAGCGTCGGCGACCCCAAGAGTGCGATGGCCGTCGACACCTTGCGCTTGTTGCCGCCGCTGAGGCCCTGCGTTCGCTTGGCCTTGAACGCGTGCAGGCCAAACTGGTCCATCTTGGCGGCGACCGCCGCCTTCACATCGATAACACCCTTGAGGCGCGCGTAGAGCTCGAGCTCTTCTTGGACCGTGAGCAGGTCGTGGAGCGCGTCAAACTGCGGACAGTAGCCTGTCGAGGCCCGCGCCGCGCGGAGCTCGGCGGGCAACAAGTGGCCATTGACCGTGACCGAGCCCGACGTTGGCTGCAGTGCCCCATGCAGGATCTGCAGCGTCGTCGATTTGCCCGCGCCGTTGATACCGAGGTAGCCAAAGCACTCGCCTTTTGGAATGCCGAGGCTGAGCTGGTGGAGCGCAATCTTCTCGGCGCCGTACTGTTTGTGCAGCTTGTGCAGGACGACATTGTCGCCGCTCGCACGGCCTTGCATGACGCGCACCGCTTCAGCTGCGACGTCTGGCTCCAGCAAGCTGCCGCGTTCGCGGTACGCGTCATCGGCCTTGGTTGGCAGCCGGGCGGTGTGCTGGCGGTCCGCGTACAGCACCAAGAGCGTCAACAGCACCGCTTCGACGGCCCCATAGAGAAGGCTCCGCCCCGCGACAGACAGTTCAAACACATTAGCTGTGCAGCACCCAGGGACGTTGGCACTCCAGCACGATTGCTCGATCGGACACGCACCTGCTCCCATGCCGCCAAACGGGTTGCCGTACTTGCGCATGCCAATCTGAAAGAGCCCGTCCGTGAGCGCGTACCCGGGAAAGAGCAGGTACACCCAGCGCAGATACTGTGTGTCGAGCTGCGCGAGCGTGAGCTGGTTCTTGATCAGATCAAAGTCAATCAAGCGGCAGAGGAACGAGATGATGCTGAGGAGACCGCCCGTGACGAGGCAAAACACCAGCACGGACGTCTGTGCGGCTGCGTGCTTTGTGAACCGAAACGTAAAGAGGTACGCGAGCGGCAGCATCGAGAGCACGTGCGTCAGAAGAAGGGCGAGGCCTCCGAGAATGGACGCCGAGTCGTTCTGAAAGCTTGCAAACGACGGCAGCAAGGCGACGGCGACGGCGACCGGCACAAGCATGAAGAGGACATCGTGGGTCCAAATCGAAAACCAGTAGGCAAAGACGGACGAGCCGCAAGCGAGCTGCTGGTACTTGGCGTTCTGGTGCGGGTCCTTCTCCTTGACGATAAACACGACGACGGACGCAGGCACGAACGCAAAGCCAATGACAATGATGAGGCAGGCGAGGAACGTGTTGATCTGGCCTTGCAGCTTGGCGTCTCTCTTGACGATGCAGCTGCCGCTATAGCACGGCCACTTGTTGGACGCGCAGCTCGAGCACGGATAGTAGGGCGAGACGGGCTTCGTGGCGTCGCAGCACGCCGTGGCATCGCAGTCGGCAAGGCCCAGTGAGCAGTGACTGAACCACTCGGTCATGCAGACGCTGGTGCTGCGCAGAAAGCCACCGTCCATGGCGCAGTACGGGGATGACGAGTTGCCTCGAATGCTGCCTTCCGAGCAGTAGTTGGTCACACCGCAGCCGTACACGAAGGGCTGGCAGTTGGGGCACACGGCGGTCGCGATGCCGTAGGCACACTCGTAGTTGGCCGTCGAGCTGGTCAAAACGATATTGCAAGCCTTGTAGTTCTCGACCTCTTCGACGCTGACGCCCCGCGCGTACGACGGAAGGTAGCTCGCGACGCGAATGGACGGCAGCAGCGCGAGCAGCCCAAGGAAGAGCACGGGGATGACCAGTGTAAACATCATGTTCTTCTTGTCGCGGCGGGAAACGCGCCAGCTACAGTATCCATTGTTGTGAATTGGAGGCAGAAAATTTGACTTCTACACATGAAAATTGACGTACCGCTTTTGAAGCATGGCGACATATTGCTGTCGGAACGACGGCGGCCGAGTTGCATCGGCGCCTGCCCGAGGCGGCTTCTCGAGTACGATGTGTGGACTCTCGTGCCAGTCGACGAGCGCTTCGGACGGACCGTTGACGTCGCCTTGGTGGGCAATCCGCAAAAAGACTTCTTCGAGCGTCGTGATCGAGATGCCGTACTCGACGATGCCCCGTGTCTCCAACTCGTTGTCTAAAGCGAGGAGGAGGTCGGGAAACTGCGGACTCGCGTGCGTCGGCAGCTGCACGACGACTTCGGCGCCGACGTTGCTGAGGACGTTGGCGTCGGGCACAAACCGCCGTAGAAACGCCACGAGGTCCGTCACGTTGCACGCACTCGTCTTGACGAGCGTCAGGTTGTAGCCCGTGCCGTAGAGCTGCTTGAGAAAGAGCGACGAGCCCGCACAGCAGAGCCGACCGTCCGACAAGATGACGATGCGGTCGCCGAGCAAGTCGGCTTCGTCCATAAAGTGCGTCGTGAGCACCATGACCCGGTTCTCGCGGTTGCGCTGGAGCACATTCCACGTAAACCTACCAAGCTATATATCAATCTATCAAGTGTCGATCCAAGCACGTACCGGCGCGAGTACGGGTCCATGCCCGAGGTGGGTTCGTCCAGAAACACCACTTGGCTCTTCCCGAGAAGCGCGATCGCGACACTGAGCTTGCGCTTCTGGCCGCCCGAGAGCTTGGCCGAGGCCACGTGGCGCTTCTCGACCAGGCCGACCTCGGCGACCATCGCGTCAATCTGCGCGCTTGCGTCCTCAATGCCCTTGAGCGCCGCGTACAGCTGGAGGTGCTCGAGCACCGAGAGCTCGTCGTAGAGCACGTCGTGCTGCGGACAGACGCCCATGCTGGCGCGGATCGCGTCCATGTCGTCCGTGATCGTCTTGCCAAAGACATAGGCCGTGCCTTTGGTCGGCGGAAAGAGACCCGTGAGCATCGAGATGGTCGTGGTTTTGCCGGCGCCGTTGTGGCCGAGGAACGCCGTGATCTGGCCAGCGTACATGGTCACGTGGAGGTTGTGGACCGCGACCTTGCTCTCGCCGTCGTCCGTCTTGAACGTCTTGCGGAGACCGACGAGCTGGACGCACTCGCCGCGCTGCTCCTTGAGACGCAAGGCTTGCGTCGGCGGCTCGACGTTGGCCTGATGCAAGGGCGATGCACCACGCGTGCTTGGCGTCGCCATTTCGTCATAGTCGGGAGCATCGGAGAAGCGCGCGGTGAAGTGGCGGCGAGACGGGCGCGGTGCTCTGCCCCGCACAGCCCAGTACGCGCGATGCAGCGGAAAGTACCAGGGCTTGGGCACGCCGTACTGTTGCGGCACGACTTGCTCCAAGTACCAGCACGCCAGGAGCATACAGACAGCGTCGCTAAGAAGGAACCACGTCATGTCGCTGACGCGGCTGCCGCCGGTGGCTTGCGTCGACGCGATGCTGTAGTAGGGCTCGGTGCCGCGCTGCGCCTGCTGCGTGAGGACTTCGATGCCGAGGGCAAAGGCCGTCGGGGCACTTAGCGCAGCGGCATACTGCGACGTATGCGACGATGCGCCCACGGCGTAGAACGGCAGGAAGGCGAGGACCCACACCAAGACGGAAGCAATCGCGGCGGTCTTGGACTTGTTGAAGAAGATGCTCATGAGATGCGCAAACGAGACCATCGAGAGACCAAACGCAGCAAAGAAGAAGAAGAGCGTCGCGAGGTCGGCCATCGGAAACACGTGGCCAAACTTGAGCTCGAGCGCCATGGCGAGCGCGAGCCACGTGTAGACGGCGTGGTCGGCGAGGAGCCACGAGAGGCGCAGCGCCGCGTCCGAGACGCCCATCATCTTCATGCCCTCCGTGAGCCGCTTCTCCTTCTCGAGCACGATCTTGGACGTGAGCGACGGCACAAAGCGGAGGTACGACAGCAAGAAAACATGCCAAAGACCGGCTGCCCGCTCGAGTAGAAGGTCGACGACGTCGACGAGGGCGCGCCTGTCTGAAGGAGCCGCGGGAGGTTGGCCATGCACGTCGAGAGAAGCGCGGTGGTGCAGTCGACGTTGCTCGTGCAGCTATACCGAGTGTTCCACTTCTCATCAGAGGACGAGGCCGCAAACGTGGGAAGGAACCCAAGCACGACGAGCGCGCCGACAAGAAGGAGCGGCAGCAGCAACTCGAAGAGCGCGCGGCACGGCCGGTGCTTGATGAGTTGAAAGTTCTTCCAGACCAGGATGCCCACTTGGCGTTCCAAGCGCAATTCGCTCGCAGAGCGTTGGGACGTCTTGGCCGCGCGCTGCTTGCGCCAGTGCACGAGAAGCCACAAAGGACCGACGATGCAGACCAACGCTGCGAGACTCATCGCGAGAATCGCAGCGGACGAGAGCGATGCGCACCCCAGCGGTGCAAAGAGGTACGTGTCGAAGAGCGCCTTGCACGCGCGCGTCGGTGGCTCAGCGATGCATTGCGTTGCGGCCTCCGAGGTGCTGCAGCATGATGCAGCGCCGTCCGGACACGTGAGCGCACACGTCGAGGACGAGAAGACACCAGAGTTGACGAGGCACGAGTAGTAGCTCAAGTCCTTCTGAGCGGCGAAGAAGCACTGCTCCAGCTGCGTCTCGAGCCACAAGCTCATCTTGCTACCTTTCCAAAATGATGATGTCCAAGGGTCGCCTGTAAAGTTCCACGACTGGTGACCGTCCGCAAATAGGTCCACACCGACCGGACCACCGATTCCGACTATCTACTGCAATGCAGTTGCTCTCGAGTGCTTTCACTTGACGCTAACGAGAAATTACAATCTTATTGTCAAGATGCAGATACTTGATGTCGACCACCAAAAGGTAGATTTCTCGGGGAACTATCATGCAAGTATGCAGACGGTGCATTCTTCACCTTCCCGTTGGCACTGGCATCGGAACCACCTCGTCACATGACACTGCGCGGCACGGAGCGTCGCGAATGAACAGCACTCAAATATCCGCAAACGGCGCCATCGCCTCGCGTAGCTGCAAGGCGGCGTACATCCAATCGTTGATAACAGTGTCGTTGGCGTCGGCAAAAGACGGCGGTGCATCACGCAACTGAGCAATGACGGAGCTATCTTGGATGCGCCGCACGACTGAGTCGATGGCGGCAGCAGCAGCGTCCAACGCCGCGCCAACGACCATCGTGGCGGTTTGGCGGCACGCAGGACAGGTCCCAACGGGCACTCGGTGCACCATAATGTCATCGAGCGTCATCAAGCTCCGAGGGCTCGTAGCGCACGAGTGGTGGCGCGTGTTGCCTGCGCTCGCTCGAAGCGCTTTTGCGGCCTTCTCCAAGTGTGTGTGCGCTCGACCGAGCGCTCTGAGCACATCAAGCAGGCGATCCGCACCCGAGGTGCTCATTTCGCGCAGCGCCGAGGCACAGGTAAATGCATCAAGCGACGCAGATGGCGCCGCGTCCACAACGTTTGGCTTCGCAAGGGCTTCAAAAGAGTCGTCGCGTGGTCTTGTGCTGTCTTTGTCCAGTCAACCACGCCTCCAAGCGCTCAGTCATACTCGACGCGGGCAAGCTGGACATGCGCGGATGCCGCGGCAGCCCCACCGACTTTGACGCCGGCAAACAGGTTGCGACACTCGAGCGCATCGCTGGGCAGTGCGTCATTGCCCACGCGCTGCATGAGGGCGTCGAGGATCTCCTTGACATTTGTGAGCGCAGTTGGTTGCATGCGAGCAGCGTTCGAGTTCTGCCGTGCTGGTGCCGCAGGTGGTGGCGGCTTGTACGCTGCTTCTGGCTCGTGCTGGGCATGAGATTCCTTCTTTTGCCGATAGTAGGCGTAAGCAAGCACGATAAGAGAGACGGCAGCGACGACAAGAAAAGCGGGCGCGGGCGGCATCGTCCCGAGCACTTGCAGCTGCGAGAGCCAAATCCAAACTGACGTCGACGCGAAGCGAAGGACGATGAATCGACCCTTTCTCTCGAACGTTCCGTCGCGTGGCGCCCGTTCCCAACTGCTTGAGATAACTAGTACTGGTATAAACAACGATCCGTTCAAGAGATGGTTCTGGGAAAGGGTTCTCGAAGTGCACTTGCATGTCTGGCTCCGTGCAATGCACTCTTTCTTGCTACGTGCGTGCCCCGCATCCCTCTCCACAAGCTGCGAGATCTTGCGCAGATATATCGCAGCTCGCTTTGCCTAGAATCGGATAACGTCGACGTTAGCACACTAAAGTATGTTGTCACTTAGGCATGTCTGCAACATCACCGGGTATTATTCGCTTAACGGGCGGCACTTAGTTCTTCACCTAACCACGCCATACTACACTCGATGACACCGTTGATTGCATGCACACAAGAAGCTACGACGCTTTCCAACGCAATGTGTCAACTAGTGAAAGCGTGCAAAAGTGCGAATTCTACTATACCAGAATGACCGCGCAATGCCAAACGAGCCGCTCGAGCATCGATCGGCACCAGCAAGGCCGTCAACGTATGTATGGCTAGTCGCCAGAGGCCGGACCAGTCAAAACTCGGTCAACTGGCCGTGCGAGCGCTCTTCTTTATTTTTAGTCTGCTTCTGTTGTTTTAGTCTGCGTTGAGAAACTCGAATCGTTGTGTTGCCGCACCACAGAAATCGCTTCGCCAGTGCACATACCTGGTACACTCGTGGTACTCACTCTATACTGCCAGACGTGCTCGCTGGCATTGCTGGAATTATGGCTTTATACCAGCGACATCTATGCAGGTGGTGTCGGTCGCTTGGTCGATCGCCGTACACTGTATAGCAGACTGTATAGTGTACTCTCGACCTTGATGCGTGCAATACCAACGCGTGGACCTGACGAAGAAGAGCTTTCTACGATCCGACGACGCGACAACTTCAACAAGTTTCGACATTGCACATTTCTGGTCGAAGCAGCATCCAAACGTGACGTACGCTGCCTCGAGACCTTACGACCATAGCTTGAGGGTCGTCCAACACTGGTTAACAAGAAAGGTATAGTCTATCTACACATGCGATCAAGGGACGTCTCCTCCGGGTTCCAACGAACTCGCTGGCTCTGCGCAGCCAAATATTCGCGTTCGCTAGTGTCCGACACCCTGTCCGCCAAGTGCTTCGATCTTCGATTTACAGAATATTGGTTGCACGACGAGTCTCTCTCTCGCGGTGCAGTCTATCGCCAAGTCGCGGTATGGTTCGATGTCTCTACGCAAAAGTTGTCATATGCACGCGAGGTGCGACTCGAATACGCACTGCCCTCGCTAGCAACGCGAACTAGTAGAAGCCACACAGGGTGGCCTTTCTGTTGCCATCAATATATTGTCCACGCAGGCGCGAACAAGGGTATATAACAATGCATCTTTTATAAACGTACCCTTGCGTCGAGGAGTAACACGAAGAGACCGTACACGAGAAATAAATCCTATCGACCTCTGCAATCTACACGCAATGTCGTCTCGTAGGTGGCTTTTCTGCCTGGATATTCCAAGGCGTGTCCACTTGTCATATTGGGCGCGCCTCCTGCCGACAATCGCAATATATATTAGCACAATACCACGATCTCATTGGCTGCTTTGCAATCCCGTGGCTGCAAACCGAAGTTCGAAGGGCATGTCGCTCCTGCTGGAAGATCGGCTGGCGACGTCCGGCGGCTTGCCACGGTGGTCCATTTTCCGAAATGAGCTCAGCCGCGCTCGCCTCGCAGCTCTCCAGCTGCCTCAGCGACGCCGGCGGCGACTACGCCTACTACGCCTGCGTCTTCGCATCCGGCCTCTTCACATCGCCGAGCTGCGACCTCGCGTGCTCGGGTCATGGCTCGTCCGCGTGCTGCGACGCGCTCGCGACCGCGACCAAGTGCGTCGCCAAGACAGCAACCGCGAGCTGCAAGAAGGTCGTCGACAAGACCTTGTCGAGCATCACACAGTGCGGCGGCCTCTCGTCCGCTGCCATCGGCTCCATCACGATCGCGAGCCTTTTGCTAGCGATTGTCCTTGCGATCGCAGGCCTCGTCGTCGTCGCCAAGCGCCGGGCGACCACCGATCCGCGCAACAAGTGGTCGTACCTCGTGCGCAACCTGTCTCAGATGCGCGTCCTTGTCTGGAAGAACTTGCTCCTCGCGCGAAAACACCCGTGGCGGACGCTCATCGAGAGCCTCTTGCCGCTCGTGCTCGTCGTCGCGCTCGTGATCCTCGGCAACCTCGACTCGATCGCCGGCAACGAGAGCTCCACATCGACGTCCGTCTCGACGCGGCCATGCACGGGCACCAACTGCGCGATGGTCATGTACATGAACTGCATGGACACGCTGCCCACCATCTTTAGCATTGGCCGCCCGTCGTCGACCGCCACGTCCTTCTACTCGAGCGGGCAGCCGGTCTTTGGCATGTTTTTCTTGCTGTCGTACCTCCGCTTTGTGCCGTCGCTCACGTCCAAGATGGTGCTCGAGAAGGAGAAGCGGCTCACGGAGGGCATGCGCATGATGGGCCTCTACGAAGGGCCGCTGCTGCTCTCGTGGTACATTACTGGCTTTCTCCAGTACACGCCGATCGCGCTCCTGCTCGCTGTCGAGCTTAAGCTCGGCAACGTGTTTCCGATGGCCGACCTCGCGACGCTCTTCCTGTTCTTTGCTGCGTTTGGCCTCTCGATGGTCTCGTTTGCGAACCTCGTCGGCGTCTTCTTCAACAAGTCCAAGACGGCCGCGATTGCTTCCGTCTTGGTGTGGGTTCTCGCCTTCCTGCCGTTCTACCTCGTGCAAAGCAAACCGGTTGGTCAGCAGTTTGGCGCCGCGTGGAGTGCCCCCGCAGCCTTTGCACTCGGTATCAACTACCTCGTTGTCCAGGCGCAGCGTGGCACCGACGTCTACTACGCGATCGCGACGACGACGTCGCCGATCCAAAACGTCATTACGACCGGCGAGATGACGTGGTATCTCGTGCTCGATAGCCTTTGGATGCTGCTGCTTGGCTGGTACTTTCAGCAGGTCGTGCCGCAAGCCTATGGCGTCCAAAAGCACTGGCTCTTCCTCTTCTCGCGCGACTATTGGTCGCCGTCCACGCGAACCCCGACGCCAGTCGAGTCGCCATCGTTCCACTACGCTGACATGACGACGTCGGTGCCGACGCCCCATGATGGCCCCAACGTCGAGCCGCCGACGCAAGCCTTGCGTCTCAAGGAGCAGCGCGGCGAGTGCGTCCAGCTCGTCGGTCTCCGCAAGACGTTCAAGACGGACGACGGCGAGAGCAAGGTCGCAGTCCACAACCTCCACGTGACCATGTACGCTGGCCAGATCACGGCGTTCCTCGGCCACAACGGCGCCGGCAAAACCACGACCATCTCGATGCTCACGGGTCTCTTTCCGCCGACCAAAGGCACGGCCTATGTCTTTGGCAAGACGATCACCGACGACATGGACGCGATCCGCGCCAGCATGGGCGTCTGTCCGCAGCACGACGTGCTCTACGACGAGCTCTCGGTGCTCGAGCACCTCCAGCTGTACGCGGCGCTCAAGGGCATCGAGGACGCAAGCGCGCAGATTGACGCGATGGTCGCCGAGGTCGGCCTGGTCGAGAAGCGCCATGTGGCCTCGGCCAAGCTCTCGGGCGGCCAGAAGCGCAAGCTCAGTGTTGCGATCGCGCTTCTCGGGAAGAGCCAAGTGGTGTTTCTGGACGAACCCACCTCGGGCATGGACCCGTACTCGCGCCGGTACGTCGTTGGATCTACACTTGATAGATTGATAGGATGGGGTAGGTTTACGTGGAACGTGCTCCAGCGCAACCGCGAGAACCGGGTCATGGTGCTCACGACTCACTTTATGGACGAAGCCGACTTGCTCGGCGACCGCATCGTCATCTTGTCGGACGGGCGGCTCTGCTGCGCGGGCTCGTCGCTCTTTCTGAAGCAGCTCTACGGCACGGGCTACAACCTGACGCTCGTCAAGACGAGTGCGTGCAACGTGACGGACCTTCTGGCGTTTGTACGGCGGTTTGTGCCCGACGCCAACGTCCTCAGCAACGTCGGCGCCGAAGTCGTCGTGCAGTTGCCGACGCACGCGAGTCCGCAGTTTCCCGACCTCCTTCGTGGCCTCGACCGGTCGCTGCGGTCGCTCGGTGTTGCCGAATATGGCATCTCGGTCACGACGCTCGAAGAAGTCTTTTTGCGGATCGCGGCCGATGGCAAGCCGCCGGCTGGCAACGGCGACATGGAGCTGCGGGAGTGGCGTGCGAGCCAACTCGGTTTCAACGAGCCCAAGCGCCGGCCCACGCAGCGCACGCGGACGGCGTCCTTTGCAGCGCAGTACTTCGCAATGCTGCAGAAGCGGTACGACATCTTGCTAGCATCGATGTGGAGGATGACTGATGCGACTGCAGGTTTCGCGTCTCGAAGCGGGACAAGAAGGCGTGGGTCTTTATGGTGCTCATCCCGGTGCTCTTTCTCGGCATGCTCGCGCTCATCCCGGGCATCAACGTCGCGAGCTACCTCCCCACGTACGAAAAGCCCGACTCGTTTGCGACCGAGCACTACAACTCGTGTTTGAATTTGGCACCAACCAACAACAAGTGCGCGTTTGGCAACTCGATCGACCGTCTCTGTCAGTGCCAGTCCTCCGGCGTCACCTTTGAGTGCGAAAGCACGCCCAACTCGTGCTCGTCCGGTACGGTGGTCGCGAACAAAACGGACTCGTCGTATCCCTACTGCGCATCGCCGGGTGGTCCGCTCCGCAACAAGACGGCGTGTCTCAACCAGTGGTTTAGCCACTGCTCACTGGGTCTTGGCAACTGCGATGCGTCCGCGTGCTGCGACGCCACCAAGCCCGTCTCGCCCTACTATCCGTGCTCGAGCTGCGCGTCCAACAAGTGGCCGTGCTACAAGGGCGACTGTTTAATGAAGGACGACGCCAAGCTGCAAGGCCAGATCAACACGTTCCTCGCATGCCTCATCATTGTCATTGGTTTTGCGTTCGTGCCTGCGTCCGTCGTCGTGTTTATCGTCAAGGAGAAGGACCCGCACCAGAACGCCAAGTACCAGCAGCTCGCTTGCGGCTCGTCCGTCTTTGCCTACTGGTTTTCGATGTGGACCCACGATGTCCTCTTCATGCTTGTGCCGGTCGGCGTCGCCGTCGCCTTGCTGCCGTCGTTTGCCAGCTTCCAGAACGACTCGGCGTCCATTCTCGGAGGCCTCGCCCTTCTTCTGACGCACGTGCTCTCGATGCTGCCGCTCGCGTACCTCTTTACGTTTCGGTTCACAAAGCACGCAGCCGCACAGACGTCCGTGCTGGTGTTTTGCCTCGTCACGGGCGGTCTCCTCAGCATCATCTCGTTCCTCTGCCGCTTGATTGACTTTGATCTGATCAAGAACCAGCTCACGCTCTCGCAGCTCGACACGCAGTATCTGCGCTGGGTGTACCTGCTCTTTCCCGGGTACGCGCTCACGGACGGGCTCTTCCAGATTGGCATGCGCAAGTACGGCAACCCGTTTGGCGGCGCGGACATTGTCGCGACGTCGTGTCCCGTCGCTAAATCGTGCTGGAGTGCCAACGTCCCTGGCTGCTGCGTCCCGGACGTCTTCGAGTTCAACATTGCCGGTCGCAGCCTTCTCTACGGCGTCGCCGAAGTGCTTTTGTTTTCGCTCTGGGTGCTCTACGCGGACCGCGCGACGCAGACATACGAGCCGCGCCGAGCGCAGCCCAACAAGGCTCTGGAAAACATGGACAGCGACGTGGCAGCCGAAGCGGTGCGCGTCATGCAAGGCCGTGCGAGCGGCGACAATGTCGTCTTGCACAAGCTGCACAAACAGTACGGCGCCGAGAAGATTGCGCTCCACCAGCTCAGCCTCGGCATTCCAAAGGGCGAGTGCTTTGGCTACCTCGGTATCAACGGCGCGGGCAAGTCGACAACGCTGCAGATCCTGCATGGTGCACTGCAGCCAACGTCGGGCTCGGTCACTGTCAATGGCCACTTGTTGCCCGCCGAGCTCCGCGCGGCGCGGGCCTCGACGGGCTACTGTCCGCAGTTTGACGCGCTCCATGACCTGCTCACGGTCCAGGAAGAGCTCGAGCTCTACGCGCGCCTCAAGGGTGTCATCGATGTGAAGGCGGCGGTCGCCGCCAAGATGGACCAGTTTGGCCTGCACGCGTTCAAGGCCAAGCGAACGCAGGGCCTCAGTGGCGGCAACAAGCGCAAGGTGTCGACGGCCATCGCACTCTTGGGGTCGCCGACGCTACTGCTCTTGGACGAACCGTCCACCGGTATGGACCCGGCCGCGCGCCGCGACATGTGGGACGTGATTGTCGGCGTCTTGCAGGAGAAGAGTTGCTCGGTGATTTTAACGACGCACTCGATGGAGGAGTGCCAAGCGCTCTGCACGCGCATCGGCATCCTCGTGAGCGGCCAGCTCAAGTGTCTCGGCACGGCGCAGCATCTCAAGCACAAGTTTGGCCGCGGCTTCACGCTCGACCTCAAGCTCGAGTCACCGGAAGATGACGTGATGCTTGCGCTGCCGACAACGAAGCCGTCCCTCTCACTCGTCGACCTTGAAGGCATCTGCGAGGCCATGGGCGAGAAGGACCGGCTGGAGCTTTTGACAATCGACTGGGTCATTGCCCACTACCTTGAGAAGGACGGTAGCGTCCCCATCGAAGTCCTCCGGCAGTGGTGGGTGCTCCAGGACTGCAGCCAGCGCCTCGTCGACGCGCTCTCGTTCCACATACCTGGCGTCGTCCTCGTCGAGAGCCACGGCGAACACTTTCGCTTTCAAGTCCCGAAAGTCCACGGCCACACGCTCCAGTCGCTCTTTGGTTGGATGGAAGCCCACAAGGACGAACTGCAGATCGCGCAATATAGTGTGAGCGACACGACGCTGGAAGAGATCTTCAACACGATGGCCGCTGGCCAAGAAGAGGAAGTCGGCGTCGTCCACGGACTTCGCCAGCGCTCCAAGAACGGCAGCAGCCTCCACCCCGTGCGCACCTACCACCGCGGCACGTCGCTCAGTTCACTCTCGTCGCAGCGTCGCGAGTACGACTTGTAACCTACCCCTTATAAACTTCAGTATCAATCTATCGATTTGGCGCATGCTTTTTTCAGAATGGATTTAAATGAGTTTCCCATATGCCCAAGGATCTCTGAAGCACTTGGGGCTTCTTGATATTTGCTGTATCTCCGTTCTGCGACAATGGCTGTACCTCCCAACCTCCTAACCTCAGGAGGTCGTGCTCGACGGACGCCGAACCGTCGTGGTCGGTTTCGCTCCTTCTGAAACCGGTTACGGCCGAAGAGTCACTCTCCAAAGCGCTAGCATGGCCCCCGTGTCGCCAGCCAAGGACGTGAGCAAGCCCAAGAAGAAGGCGACGACCATCTCCAAGTCGATCGCGCGCGTCTTTCGCCGGGCCAAGGCCAGTGCCAGTGGCAACAACAGCGACAGCAGCAGCGCTTCCACGCGTACACACCCTCGGATGCTGGTCACACGTGATTTGCTATGGAGTAGTGGTCGCGTCGAGCTGCCCGAGCGACGCGAGCGAGATCGAAGAGCTCTTTCTCCAAGCCATCGACGGGCTCGCGCTGCCAAAGACGGCGACGGATCGCATGCACGCGCTGCCTTTGCACCAAAAGTGGCAGATCATCCACGAGTGGAGCGCCAAGCAGGGCCTCGACACGACGTCCGAGCCGCGCACGTGGGTGCAGACGCTGCACGAGGCGATCGAGGACATCTCGAGCTTCTCGGACCAGGATGCAAGGGAGCTCCACGTGCTCATGCGTGGCAGCGACAAGGAGGTCTGTGTCTCAACTGCACGGGGTGCTCATGTCATGCGCTGCACAGTGGCTCACGCAGTTCCACAAGGATGATGGGATTGCAGCGCTCAGCGATCTTACTGGCGTCTATGCGGCCATGGACGACGTCGACGCGTGCGCGACGCGCTTCACTGAGTGCCTCAAGTGTTTCAAGTCGCTCATGAACAACCAGTTGCGTGTCCGAAATGCTACTCCCCACCTCATGCGTTCGTAGCGTCGGCATGCACTTCCTGCTCGCGCACCCAAATGCCGTGCACACGCTGGCGCTCTCGCTCGACTTTGATCGGAAGGAGCGGACGCTCATGCTCCTCGAGATGCTCTCGCTCACGTGCTGGTTCTCCGAGCTTGGTCACCGCACAGTGCTCGACGCGATGGAGCTGCTCCGGCGTCGCCAGAACGAGCGCATGCGCTACGCGAGCATCCTCGATGGACTCGCGACCGCGTCGTCCGTCGAAGTCCAAGCGGCCTGCTTGACGTTCATCAACACGCTCGTGAGCACGTGCGTTCGCGTCGACGACCGTCTCGTCGTGCGCAATGATTTCCTCGCGCTCGACATTCTCCCGCTGTGCCAGCGCATCCTCAGCGGCTTCGAGTCGCTCTCGGCAGCGCCTTTGAGCTATGGCATGTATGGCTTTGGGGACTTGGAGATCGATGCGATGGGCCGCTTCCGCAAGCAGACGCAAGTGTTTCAGGGCTTGCTGCGCGCCGATACGGACGAGGTCGTGTGCGGCGCCTTGGACTTGAGCGACGTGCGCGCCGTCTTGAGCAAGCTCGTCGAGAACGCCAGTCTCCAAGGCTGCAGCGACCGGCTCCTTCACGTGGCACTCGCCCTGCTCGTTATCCCCAACGAAGTCGCCATGGGCCACACGATGTGGGACCTGGTCGAGACCGCGACCCTCGACATCACATCGGCGTTGCTCCCGTACGACGAACTACAACCTCTCTGGCAGGAACATACGGATGGATGGCGTAGGGAGCTCACGGAGAAGAAGCGGTCCATGGTCACTGCCGTCAAGAGGTGTCTGGAACAGCGTGCGACGCCATCGTCCGAAGGCGCGCGACTCGAAAGCAACCAAGCTGTACGGTTGCGAGGTCCAACATGGTTCGTAGCGGTGTATGTAGGTCCTGGAGGAGGCGCCTTTGGCGGTGCAGACCCGCCTCAACGAGGCAACTGCCACGATAGCACAGCTCGAAGCGGAAATCGAGCGGCTTCGCACAAAGCTGCTCCATGGTACGTCGTTGCTTAATTGATGAGCGTGTGTACAAGGCTATCGGCTAGAAGCTTCGGCGCGCGCGTCAACCGAGCGAACGAGTGGAGACACGGCTACTGATGCGTCGGACAAGCTTTCGCCAACGCTGCCAGAGGCCGCAGCGCCAAGCGAAACGTACGCCAAGTACTTCAAACTGCTCAAGATGGGCATGCCGCTGGAGCAAGTGCAGCTCAAGGCCAAGGCCGACGGACTCGACCCGGCCAAGCTCGCCACGAGCGCGCCGGTCACGGCAGCGACGCTCGATGCATCTTATGACAAGTACTTTAAGCTGCTCAAGATGGGCATGCCGCTCGAGCAAGTGCAGCTCAAGGCCAAGGCCGACGGACTCGACCCGGCCAAGCTCGCGGTAGCGACACCCGAAGCGCCAGCGACGTCGGTGGTCGTTGACGCGCAGTACGAAAAGTACTTTAAGCTGCTCAAGATGGGCATGCCGCTCGAGCAGGTGCAGTTGAAAGCCAAGGCCGACGGACTCGACCCGGCCAAGCTCAGCGGAAGCGCGACGATCTCGCCACCCGAGGTGAAGCCAGTACCAAAATGCACGACGGCCGCCGTTGTCGCTGCCGCCCCAATTGTGCCAGTGCGCGCTATCTCCAAGCTGCCGCCAAAGAAGACACCGACACCGTCGACCAAAATGCGCAAGTACGACGTCATACCTACTGCGTAGTATTATGTGTGTGATAATTGTGTGGGCTAGCCTCTTTTGGACGCCGCTACCGGACGCGGTCGTCGAAGGATCGATCTGGGCGACGCTCGACGAGACCGAGTTGAGCTTGGACTGGCCGTTGCTCGAGCGAGAGTTTGGCCAAGAGGTCTGCGCGAAAGCCACCAAGTCCGCTGCCGCGCCGTCGACAAAGGTCAAAGTCGTCCATCTGGTCGACCCGAAGCGACAGCAAAACTGCTCCATCGCTCTCACCCGCTTCCGCCTCTCGCCGACAGAGCTCTGCGATGCGATTCTGAATCTGAACGAGTCGATCCTGATCGTGGAGCGGTGCGACATGCTACAAACAAAGTGGATGTAACCTGTGGTTAGGGTCTCGATCCTCGAAGGCCTCGTGCCAACGTCCGACGAGCTCGATCTTATCAACGTGCGTCCAATTACCCCGTCGTGGTCGCTGAAACATCGGCTAGAGCTACGACGGCGACATGCAGATCCTTGGCGAGACGGAAAAGTGGTTTGCCGCCGTGCGCCACGTGCCGCGCCTGCCCCAGCGCCTTCAGTCGATCTCGAACCAGCTCAGCTTTGCCGCGCGCTTGGACGATCTCAAAGCCAAGCTCTCGACACTCGAGAAGGCGCGCAGCACGCTGCACGCGGCAACACCGACGCTGCTTCCACTGCTCCACGTCGTCTTGGCGGTTGGCAACTACATGAACAACGGCACGGCCCGGGGCGGTGCGTACGGGTTCAAGCTCGAGATCCTGCCCAAGCTGTCTCAGGTGCGATCTAGTCCACACTTCACTTGCCAAACCGAGACAACTAGGTGAAAGCCACGAGCAGCGCCCGTCCGACTCAGTCACCTCTCGCCGAGGTAGTGACGGCGAAAGCGCCCGATGCGCTCGCGTTTCTCAGCACCGCCACGTGCTTGGAAGCGGCGGCCACAGTGTCCTTGCCGCAGCTACTTTTGGACGCGACGGCGCTCGAGCGAAGCGTGGACCTGGTCCGCCAAGAGGTGCATGGACCATTTCTTGAAGCGGTCTTGGTGTGACGTTGTGTTGTAGGTCGTCCACCAGCCGGATGCTGCGTTCCGCCGGCGCTTTGGTCCGTTTGTGGATACGAGCGGCATGGCGCTGGAGCGGCTCCGCGCCGACGTAAGCTCGCACGAGACCAAGTTTGCGGCGCTTTGCGCGCGCTTTGGGTTCAAGCAACCCGTACGCGCCTGTCTTGCTGTCTCTTCGTCTGTCCTTAGAGGTCGGATTAGGATGCGACCGGCTTCTTTGGCCTGTGGCACGACTTTGGCCGGCAGCTCGTGGCCGCTGCCCGCGAGTTCCAGTCGTCGACGGCCGCCACCGAGCCCGAAGACGGCGCCGGCCTCTTCAACCAGTTTTCCGAGTCGCTGGCGGGCGATGCGACCGACATTGTCGCCAAGCTTCGCAAGCGCCACGCGCCGCCCAGTGCGACGGCCGCCGTCCCCAACGAGCTCGCGCTCAAGCTCGCGCGGCGTCGCCAGAGCACGCTCAAGACGTCGTAGTGTTGCATAGCATTGATGTGTTTGCACGCAAATGACATGGAAATATACTACATTCACGGGGTAATAATGATAGGGTGGATAGCTACCAAAGCAGCTAGTTGAGCGACGACTCGAGCATAAACTGGACAAACTGGTGGCGCACGGCGAGGACGAGGTGGTCCATGCCGAGCTGCGCGAAGTCGATGTAGTGCTTCTCGAGAATGTACTTGAGCACGTCGTAGAGGTCTTTGCACATGGCTTGGACCGCGAGCACGGTGGGCGCTCGTTGGTGCTGCTCAGCGAGGTCTCAATGAGGCGGAGCTTCTCGCAGAGGCTGTTGAATTCGACTTGGTTGCACTGACGGCAGTGCGTATCGAGGCAAATGTCCTTGGTCAGGTTCAGGAGCAAGCTCAGGTCTTCGGTGATCGTGAGCACCGTGCAGAGCATCTCTTCGACGTCAAAGTCCGAGAGGAACCGCGTGCGCTTGGCCGTCGCCGGCAGCGCAGCCTCTCGCCGGCGTTTCTCGCCCGAGCGTGGCGGTGCGACGACTTGCAGCATGCCCATCCTCGTCTTCGGCTTGCAATTCCAAAGTGCCAACTCGTGCACGATCGCAATTTCGCTCGAAATTTTCAAGCGGCTTCCAGAGAGGCGGACACGTGGGATCCATATTTTATTTTCGACGGAATATTATTATCGATCATAATATTGTACCCAATATTAAAAAACGAATATTGGACGCGATGTCGTGACATGAACAGGCCCGCAAGAGGATGTGCATACCAGATTCCTGTTGTTTTCATTGTATTTATTTTAATTCTCTTTTTTATTGTCTCAATATCTGGCGCGACAAGAGCGACGTAATGCACGCATATAATATATATATATACCCTCCTGACGGAATATTGGCTCGCCAGCTACAGTACGGTACGGGACTGGAGATTTACCGTTAAGCTGGTGATTGAAGCTGCGAATGACGCGGCGGTTGATCGAGCATGCAGACTCGCTTCCCACAAGAAATGGCCATGATCCACGTCGCTACGTGCTACTTGAAATTTATCGGAGCGCGAATGCAATACAATATTGCACCAAGTTGCAATAGGAGCAATATGTAGAGCACCGCGATGGTGGCGGTGCGGGGCTTGCCGAGGGCGATGGTGTCCGCGCGATTCCTTGAAGTACACTGTTACTTCTGGTAGCGCGACCGTGTTGCGACCACCAAGTTCGGCTCGTGCACACTCACGATCCATATATGTGCTCACGATCCATCGACTCGGCGTCTCGACGCCACACGTGCTGTGAAATTTTCATACCAGCTGCCAGACGCGGCATGGACCAAGCTGTTGTTACGCTACGTCGTTGTAGCCCATATCGTCCATTGACAGCCTTCGTTCGCACGGCGCTTGCCCGCGTTGTTGGCGGCGCGTGTACATAAACACCGTCACGCTCGTGTCGAAAAGAAGAACGCGAGCTAAATTTTCATCTTGAAGTTGATCGACGCTGCAAGGGGCCGAGATGCACGCAACTTGACGTTCGTCCTCAGGGCGAGACGGAAGAGATCCTCGCAACCTCCTCTTGCGACGTAGCCGAGGATGATGGCGAGATGCTTGCCACTGTAGGTGTCCAAAGTGGATCTACAAGGCAGCGTCTTGCGACCTCAAGTGCGGGCTAAAGGGGCGTGCATTTAGCTACGTTTCAGGGGCCTGCGCCCAATCTTCCAGTCCAGACGCAATCAGAACGCATTGGGTGTAAAACGACCTTTGTCCCAAGTGGTGGCGCGGCCGTCGCCAATGAAGCGACGGCTCATCGCATCGTCACAGGGTACCCACCGCAAATTGTGAAGAAGAAAAACAAGGGATCTGCGTCATCTCATCTTGGCTTTCCATCAAGTGGACTGTCCGTGGTCCGAGCTGCTGCTTGATTCAAAATTTGTCCTTGTGTAAATTTTGGCCCTTGCTGGTTTCAGAAATTTCCGATGCGTCTCAAGTGGTGGAAATACCACCCGACCATCGAGGTCCATCACTCACTCGCACACCACCGAGGCTGACCCCACGTCCCTCTCGTTCGATGTGTCGTTCTTGAGGAGGGCTGCAAGCTACAAAATATTTGATTCTGTGGGATTTTCCAACTGGGACAAAGTATGAATTAGGTCGCTAATTCCTACCACGTGGTGCCATTTACCACAGCATGGTCTTATTTCACGGCGGCGCGGTTGGACAACGATGCAAGGTGGCAGCGACTCGGAAGACGAAGGCTGGCGCGACTGCGTCGAGTACGGCCTCTCGACGATCCGCATCGGGCGCGACCTGCGCTTCCGCATCCGCCAGATGGAGGAGCTCTCGCTTGCCGCGTCCTTCTCGATGCTCTCCGAGATGAAGGCCACGTCGTCCGAGATCTCGGGGCAGCGCATTTGGCCCGGGTCCTACCTCCTTGCCGAGTACCTGCACGCCCACGTCGACATTGTCGCTGCCAAGCGCGTGCTCGAGCTCGGCGCCGGCACGGGTCTTGCGAGCCTTGTCTCGCGGCTGGCGGGCGCGACGGACCTCGTCGCCACGGATGGCGACCTCGAGGTCGTCAACGACGTCTTGGCATGGAACGTGCAGTCGAACGCGCCGGACGCAACCAACTTGCACACGGCGTCGCTGTGGTGGGGCGACGCGGCTTCCAACGCGTCGTTCGCCGAGCGCTTTGGCGACGGCCGCTTCGACGTGCTCATCGCTGGCGACGTGCTCTACAAGGGCGAGCTCGTCCAGCTCTTGCTCTCGACAGTCCGCACGTGGCTCGCGCCGCACGGGCGCTTTGTGCTGTGCCACATTCCTCGCGCCGACGTCTCCCACGACGTCCTCCAGGCCGCGCTGACCGCCCACGGGTTTCGCTTCACGACGACGACGACGCTCGACCGCGCCAACCTCCCGGACGACTGCACCGTTGACGACGCCAAGCGCGCAATTCTGTACGACATTGGGTTTGCATAATCGCCCAGAGAGTAGTATAGCAGACGCGTATGTTGTAGTATGTGCAATTTTTTCTACTCGGAGTGGCGCCGGGCGGGTGCAACGCGGATGTTGAGGCGCCGGCGGAGGTCCTCGAGCTTCGTCTCGTACTCGCGCTCGTAATATACGTTGAGCAGGCACGGCGCCTCGCGGCCGGCGCGGTAGGCCCACGGCACAAACGTGCCGAGAAGCTCCTTGCGCTCGTCTACGTGGCCCGGTCAGCAACCAGCAATGGAAGGCGAGGATGGAAAGTATTCGTACCACACGAGAGACGAAGCGGACCAACAAAGCCGCTCAAGGCACACACAGGCAGGCCCGTCTGGACCAGCTCCACGTACTTGAGCGCGATCTCGCTAAAGACGGTCGGCGGCAGGCCAAAGAGGACGTGCCAGAAATCGTGCAGCTCCCGGTACCGCTGCAGGACATACGCCAGCTCGGCGTCGTCAACAAAGCGGACGTGCGCGCGGCCATCGGCTTCAAAGCTGCATGCACATGATGCGACGAGATGCTAATGCAATACGTACGTACCCATGGGCGTCCATAAACTGCGTGTAGGCATAGCCAAAGCTGTCGGTGGGCAGCGACCGGAGCGCGTCAATGTCCGTGACCGACGACCGAATCCGCGGCTTCTGCGCGAGGATCTCCATCCCCACGGGGTCCGAGCACATCTTGAGGTGCATCTGTCGCAATGCAACTTCGCCCGTGGCGTCGCCGAGGGCCGCGAGCATGTCGCCGCGCTCCGGGTTGGCAAAGACCGAGACTGCCGCCGTGGCCGCCACTAGCAGCTTCTGCGTCGGCGTCGTGGGCACGTGGTGGGCGTGGAGGACGTGGCGCGTGGGCGGCCCGGCGGCCGACGGCGCCAAGCTCGAGGCCGCGCGGGCCGCGACCTGTAGAAGACAGCGGCGCGGGGCCATGATGGTGGTGATGATGATGGTGTTCGTGCGAGTTCCCAACTGGTGCATGGACACGTTAAGAAAACAGCCAATCAAAGCGCAGTGAAGTAGAAACGCGCGAAGCTGCGCGCGGGAAAGGCCAGGATCGCGAGCTTTCGGCAGGTTTCTGGCCAACGGCCTCATCGCGTCCGCTCGCGCTCGACGGCTGCACAACGCAACGTGCCCAGCACCGCGCAGGACGGTCTAGACGCTACGACGGCAGCGCGCGTGTCCGTCACGGCGTAGCAGCGCGCCCATGCGCTCGTCGTCGATCTCAAGCCGGCGACATCCGTCGCCACCTTGCCTTGGTCAAGGGCGAGCCTGCCCGAGTATCAAGGCGCCATTCGCAGTGTCCTTGGAGTACACGCTTCAAGGCAGACGCGGCAAGAGCTGTCCGACAGTGCGCATCACCATGTGGAGCGTTCGCGTCGGGCTGACAACAACTTAAACGTCGACAAGGAGTGCATAGATCGCGCGCTGCGCTGTGTCGGACACGCCCGGTGCCTGGTGAGAACGACCAGTCCGAGGGGTTCGTCGGCAAAATATATGGAGTTTTCAGATCTTACTCGCGTGATTCTTCAAAACGCAAGGCGCAATGGGCTCGGTTGCTGCTAGAAATAGTCGATCGTGAGCTGCCCACGGCTCGACATCCTCGTGTTGTTCACAGGACATGCACTGCAGGAACGATTTGTGTGCGATTTGTGTGGTACAACAGCTTTGCATCCGCAGAGACGACGCCTCTTCGTCGTTTTCGCTTGCCAGGTCGTGCCGGCGACAGGTTTTAACTCCGGCGTGGGGGAATGCAGACAGTGAATTGTGCTCGGGTGGACTACCACCATACACGTGCAAGCAGCTCGAGAAACCCTTCCCATGCGTGGTAGTGAGCTCTTGCGCGTGAGCCGTGGGACGAGGTTTGCAGCCGCCTTGCGAAAAACACGGCTGCGTCTGGTCGCCCTTCGTCAAAAAGGCACGACGCCGCATCCCGCCAGTGCTCATGGAACCCGTTGGCGTGAGACGATATTTTCCGACTCGATGGACAATACAGCACCGACGTACGACGATGCCGCCGTCGGGAAACTACTGGACGCCAACGGTTTCTGGCTCCGCACTCGAACTCGACCCAAATGCCACAGCGCAATTAACTTGGTCCCATCCAAACGCACACCGCTCTCGTCGGCTGTCTCCTGCTTCGTCTCGCAACAACGCCTCAGCGGCCATGGCGTCGTCGCAAGCCGCACACCAAGGACGCGTTCTTGGGTAGCCGCGGCTACGTTCCATTGGAACGGGACGCCACAAGCTGTGGAGTCTCATATCAAAAGTGCCATGCGTGGTGCTTGTCCAAGCCCCCGGAAGGGGGCTTGCCAGCAGCGGAAGACTTTTTTTGCTGCACCGTGCGGCCTGCAACGACTCTATAGAATCTGACACGTCCGCGAGCGTTGCACCGAGGTGGCCGACGACGGGGGATGTCTGTGCTAACGTTGTAATATCAAACGTTGGGACATACTAGAGATTTCTTTGGTCTGCAATAAATACTGTGCAATCCTGTAGTAGGTTGCGATATCATCGGTCGTGTCCGATCAACGCAGTCGTAGTCGAGTTGTATAGGTCGATGTGGAAGGTCTCAACCTGTCACCCCACCTTGATGGTCGCTCCAACGGCCAAGTCGAAACCCCTCAATGAACACCCAGACAAAGTTACACCTCAGAAGACAATTTACGCCACCACCAAGGGTCACCACCAAGGCGAGAGCAGCACGTGACGGCTCCGTCGCTTGCGCCGCAGCAGGCCCCATGGCCTTGTCGTCATACGCGATTTGAGGAACATCAGTCGCACCGTCAAATGTTCGCGTCTAAGACGTACAATTCCAGGCTACTACGGAGGACCGGCACCGGTTACACGAGCTTAGCTCGTGTACGTTCACCCGTGCTTGACAAGAGGGCCATAGCGCTTGCGCAGTACTTCCAGCGAGGGCTCACGACTTAGTCGTAGCTCGCAGCCAACGAGTTGCTCGTTAATCAACACGATTTGCTTGGTGGAGTAACTTT